GGTTTCTTTAATCTTAATTTGTGTTAAGAAATCAGTTCTGTAAGCATCATCATAGAAGTCAGTCGCGTTGCTCATCAATTTGTTAAACCTTTATTAAAGCTTCATACCATCCACACACGCCCACTTGAGATAAGATTCTTAAAAGGTCAAAAAAACGCTTTTGATCCAACAACTTAATTTATAACTATGTGGTAGTAGCGGGAAGGTGGTGGTAGCTATAAAATTAAAGATACTTGATATGTATACTATTCTAGAAGCTTCGTGTCCAGTTAGGTGACTCTAGCTTTTATTATTTACCGAAATTGCTCAAAAAACAGGATTTTGATATCGATTTTTGTGGATTACTTGGAAACGGGGCAATTTATCGAATATCGGAAACAAACTCGATCTGTGCGGGCACTAGGAGGACCTACAGCTAAAATTTCAAGTCTCTAGCTCTTGTAGGTTCTGAGATCCTTGCGTTCCTACATACGGACGGACAGACGGACGGACAGACGGACGGACAGACGGACAGACGGACGGACGGACAGACGGACGGACGGACGGACGGACAGGCGGACGGACAGACGGACAGACAAACGGACATGGCTAGATCGACTCGGCTGTTGATGCTGATCAAAAATATTTATTCTTTATGAGGTCGGAGATGCTTTCTTCTGCCTGTTACATACATTTGTACAAAAACATTATACCCTTTTTACCAATTTTCAATGGGTTCAGGGTATTAAAATATGACACGTTATATTACAGAGTACGTACGTAAATGTCAGAAATGTCAAAAAGCTAAAACTACCAACCACATTAAAACCCCTTAACTATTACAGACACACCAACAAGTGTTTTCGACAAAGTTCTAGTCGACACCATTGGTCCATTACCTAAGTTAGAAAATGAATATAAAATAAAATAAAATATCTTGTTGCCGAATAAAAGCGCAGCAAGCGTAGCAAAAGCTATATTTGAATCTCTTATTCTAAATACGGTCAAATGAAGACGTTCATTACGGACATGGGTACTGAATACTTCCATAATTAACGAAATATCAAAATATCTTAAAAGAGACAACATTACGTCTACAGCACACCACTACTAGACTTTAGGAATAATAATAATTGCAAAATTCAACGAATCTTCTAGCGCTATCAGCGTCCGTTGGGACTGGGTATTTTTCGATGACATCATACTTTTTTTCATCTGGTAAAATACCTTGATCAGTGCACTTATGACCTAGGAAAGTCACTTCGTGCATGACAAAAAAGCATTTTTCTGGATGTAGTTTAAGGTTGTGTTTCCTACATAAGTGAAAAACGCACGTTAAGTTTTTGATCATATGGTTTTCGGAACAACCGATGACCATTAGGTCATCCATATACAAGAAAGCTTGTGAAGGATCTAATCCAGAAAAAGCGATGGTCATCATTCTTTGAAATGATTTAGGCGCTATTTTTAGACCATATGGTAATAATGTAAAACGATAGGAGCCATTCCGCGATGAAAAAGGCGTTATGTTTCTAAAATTTTCTTCTAATTGGTAATGCTTCGGTGAACCCTCCACACATAAGGAATGCCCAAATAATTCGGGGATGGTATCTATTCCACGTAGTTTTTTCTCAAGATTCCATTTACGGCGGCGGAACTTAACGTATATAAGCAATTAAAAGTGGCGATAGCGCGGTGGTAGCACGATTGTAAAGTATCGTGCAGCAACGATACTATTTCACGATGAATTTCCGATAATTTTTGAACTATCGTCAGCGCTTTGAGATGAGCGAATGAGAGCTGCTAACTATCGATGATGAATCATTAAAAATATCGAATTTTCGATTTGGCGGAGGCTATTTTGCATTTAAAGTGTATGAAACTAAAATACCAAAAATACTATTGACATGTGCAATATTTTGTTTTCAATAATTAAATATACATTTAATTGTAAATTTAACTTGAATATTTTGTAATTAATGTAAGCTATTAAATGTGGTTATATAATAAATTTAAAAAATAATAATATATATAAAAATTGATTTATTAATTATATTTATGTTTAATATTATTAATAGAATTTTAAGATTAATTTTTAAAATATGTATAAATGACTAGCGTTTACAATTCGGCTTTAACCATTTCTAGTTATTTCATTAAATTTGTATAATCAAATTTTAAATAATTAATTTCCCCCCATTCTTGCGCTTGGCATATTAGTATCTTTCTGCACTACAATGAACCTGACATTTTATAATATATTTTAAATATATATTTAAAAATTCGTTTGAAGTGAACCGGACGACGGTAAGCAACAAAATATCACTCATCCGAAATATCCCAATGCTTAGTCGATTGCAACAGATCAACATATAATTTTTAGTAGGTTTCTGCGTCTGCACGTCTAAGTCAACTAGCTTTCGCGTTATTAAGGCTCACATCGCATTCATACGGACGTTCCTTGGTATGTATACTGTGGATAACAATAATAAGTTTGTATTAGAATATATGCGGCTTATTTAACATGGAGTGAAAAATTCAGTTACCAATAATGTCAAAGAATGATGCAATGAGTCACAAACGCAAAGTGTCTCTAAACTAAGGGATCATATATTAATACCGAATTAAAAGATGCATTAATAAAAAGATTTACACCAGTCAACATTATCAAGATATTTATATTTACTAAAATATTTGTTTAAAAAATCAAACAAAAGAATATTATTTATAGATTTTGAATCAGTTCAAACAACGTAGGCATTAAGGGGCATAATGACCTAAGCTTGAGGCCAATGTGGAATTTCTGTTGCTGGGTCAGACGCATCTGTTAAATTTTACCACAAATATCTCAAACATTCATTATCGTCGCCTTGGGTCGCTGTTACACTTTGCGTGTTAACCTGCGTGACATCTGCAAAAATTCAAATTGCAATTGAGAAAACTACCTATTTTCGTAGATTAGCTGATTGATACTTACGGGTATCCCAGCGCAGAAGTTCATCTGATTGCGGGGCTAACATTTTAACCAAGATTTTTGGCCATATATATTCTCCCTCGTTGGGATTGCTTGGGGATATCAACATTATCTAATTGTTCAAAAAATAATATCAAGCTAAATTTGGATTCTTGAAAATTATAATAATAATTACGTGCGCGTGCCTAAACAATGCGCACGCATATATGTATGCGTGCACATATGATCACACTTTACACTGATTATCACACATACAGAGTTTGTACGCATACACTTGTACTTTATTTTGCAAATAAGGTTTGAATGTATGCATACATGGGATACACCAATTGGAAATGATCATGCTTACGGACTAACTTACCTATGTATGTGTTAGAGTATTTACACTAACACAATATGATTGTGCTTTGTATCTCCTACGAGTTCTTAGAAACGTATGTATGCTTGTGTGCATATGCACATTTGTAGTTTCTTTAATCGAAATCTATTCGCGAGTGCATGTTACTACTTAGCTGGAAAATACATTTGGTAATAAAAAATGGAAAATGCAACGAATGTAAAATTGCTGCACATGCATTTTTAGAAATAATAAATGATCAGGAAAATTAATGTCCTGGTTGAGAGACCACGGACTTATTTTAAAATCCAAGAAAGACATTGACAAAAAATGTAATTTTTTAGAAAGTGTGCGGGCGAACACGTTCTTCGGCGAGGATCGCGTCTAACTATCAGGAAAAATTTTAGAAAGAACACTTGACGTATATTAGAGCTCCGGGAGTTGAATCCATCTGATTTTTAAAAAATGAATTCTCAATGTCATATGAAACAATAGTCAATTGGTGTATTTCAGGATTGGGCTGCAGAGTTAAGTGAAACTTGGAGGAGAGGGCAAGGTCGTAGAAATCGACGAAAGCCTTATTTCAAAAAGAAAAAATAACTGTGGGCGGATTATCCAAGGCCAATGGGTATTTGGTATTTATGAAAGGGATACCAAAAGGCTGTACATCGTTCCTGTCGAAAACCGCACCAAAACCACGCTGCTTCGCGTTATAAAAGAAAAGATCGCGGATGGCACAACCATCATTTCGGATTGTTGGTCTTCATACCGCTGTCTAAGCGATGAAGGTTTTGAGCACCTGACAGTGAATCATTCAATGAACTTTGTTGACCCAACTACAAAAGCGCATACGCAAAATATTGAAAGAAAATGGAGGGACATGAAGGATAAAATTCCGAAATATGGGCGTTCAAAAAAACATTTGACAGGATATTTAGCAACCTACGTTTTCAAAGCGCACTATCCAAACCACATGGATAGATTCCACCATGCTTTTACAGCCATTGCAAGAATCTTCAATCCCCATTGTCTCAGAGCAAACATTGATCTAGACTGCACATATGAAGATGTAAGTATTTTATTTTTAAGAATATTCTTCTTAATATCATTAAAATTCATTTATCACAGTATGAAGACGAGCTGGAAGACCTCTGTGAAATGCAAATAGCAGAGAAGAAAAATTAGGCCATCATTTCGGTTAGTTCCCTAGAAAGCTCGCATAGCATCTCAATTAAATTTTGTTTAATTTCAGTATTAACACGAAAAAATACGAAGCGTGGTTCTTAATGGCTCAACTACATTTTTTAAGTTTTCAAAGAAAAATTATGAAAAAATAAATATTGATTTAAATATAATATTAAAATAGTCGTAACATCTGGTTTTTTTCCGATTATCAGTTAAATTAATTCATGCAAATTGAGGCAATTTCATCCGATTTTGTTTAGTTAAACAAAAATATGAACATGCATCTGCAAATGATGAAATGCGCGTTTATATGTATTCATACATTCAAACCTTATTTGCAAAATAAAGTACAAGTGTATGCGTACAAACTCTGTATGTGTGATAATCAGTGTAAAGTGTGATCATATGTGCACGCATACATATATGCGTGCGCATTGTTTAGGCACGCGCACGTAATTATTATTATAATTTTGCAAGAATCCAAATTTAGCTTGTTTCTTATATTATTTTTTGAACAATTAGATAAAGTGTCTGTTGGATATCCCCAAGCAATCCCAACGAGGGAGAATATATATGGCCAAAAATCTTGGTTAAAATGTTAGCACCCGCCACGATCAGATGATGCACTTCTGCGCTGGGATACCCGTAAGTATCAATCAGCTAATCTACGAAAATAGGTAGTTTTCTCAATTGCAATTTGAATTTTTGCAGATGTCACGCAGGTTAACACGCAAAGTGTAACAGCGACCCAAGGCGACGATAATGAATGTTTGAGATAATTGTGGTAAAATTTAACAGATGCGTCTGACCCAGCAACAGAAATTCCACATTGGCCTCAAGCTTAGGTCATTATGCCCCTTAATGCCTACGTTGTTTAAACTGCTTCAAAATCTATAAATAATATTCTTTTGTTTGAATTTTTAAACAAATATTTTAGTAAATATAAATATCTTGATAATGTTGACTGGTGTAAATCTTTTTATTAATGCATCTTTTAATTTGGTATTAATATATGATCCCTTAGTTTAGAGACAGCAGGACTTTGCGTTTGTGACTCATTGCATCATTCTTTGACATTATTGGTAACTGAATTTTTCACTCCATGTTAAAAAAGCCGCATATATTCTAATACAAACTTATTATTGTTATCCACAGTATACATACCAAGGAACGTCCGTATGAGTGCAATGTGAGCCTTAATAACGCGAAAGCTAGTTGACTTAGACGTGCAGATGCAGAAACCTACTAAAAATTATATGTTGATCTGTTGCAATCGACTAAGCATTGGGATATTTCGGATGAGTGATATTTTGTTGCTTACCGTCGTCCGGTTCACTTCAAACGAATTTTTAAATATATATTTAAAATATATTATAAAATGTCAGGTTCATTGTAGTGCAGAAAGATACTAATATGCCAAGCGCAAGAATGGGGGGGAAATTAATTATTTAAAATTTGATTATACAAATTTAATGAAATAACTAGAAATGGTTAAAGCCGAATTGTAAACGCTAGTCATTTATACATATTTTAAAAATTAATCTTAAAATTCTATTAATAATATTAAACATAAATATAATTAATAAATCAATTTTTATATATATTATTATTTTTTAAATTTATTATATAACCACATTTAATAGCTTACATTAATTACAAAATATTCAAGTTAAATTTACAATTAAATGTATATTTAATTATTGAAAACAAAATATTGCAAATGTCAATAGTATTTTTGGTATTTTAGTTTCATACACTTTAAATGCAAAATAGCCTCCGCCAAATCGAAAATTCGATATTTTTAATGATTCATCATCGATAGTTAGCAGCTCTCATTCGCTCATCTCAAAGCGCTGACGATAGTTCAAAAATTATCGGAAATTCATCGTGAAGTAGTATCGTTGCTGCACGATACTTTACAATCGTGCTACCACCGCGCTATCGCCACTTTTAATTGCTTATATTTAATAAAATACGCTATAAATTCAAGTTCCGCCGCCGTAAATGGAATCTTGAGAAAAAACTACGTGGAATAGATACCATCCCCGAATTATTTGGGCATTCCTTATGTGTGTAGGGTTCACCGAAGCATTACCCTAATTGGTACCGGACATTAAATCTAAGCATGAGAAATATTTTGCTCTGCCTAGTTTGTCAAGAAAATCATCTATTCTTGGAAGCGGAAATTTGTCGGACAAGAGCTTTTAATCGCCATCTCTTTGTATCGGATCCTGGTAGACCCTTTTTGGAACAAGGAGTATTGGACTGTTATATACTGATACGGAAGGTTCTACTATTTTATCTTGAGTGAGTTTTTCTACCTGTTTAGTTACTTCTTCCTTATGAGTATAAGGTATTCATGCTGTAATTTTGTATGTACACTGGTTCTTTATCTTTTAATTTCAACTCTTGCTTTTAAAAATTGTTGGTTGTTATAGATTCAGTTTTTAATCCGAGTACATCTGTATACTTGGTGCATAGCTCTTTTAGTTTTACTTAAATAATGGTGGAAAGTTTTTAACTAGTTTTTTCATGACATTATTTTGTCTTTCTTCGTTAATTTCATTGACTATTTCGCAGTCATTTAACGTTTCAAATTTGATTTGGTTTAAGTTTTAACTGAATTAGTTAAATTTAATATACGGACAAATGTATTTTTGTTATTGGAAATTGTATTTCCGATGAAAATTCCATCGTCAATTTCTTGATTTGGAATTAAAACATGATTTTGTATGGAAGGTATTTTTATTTGACGGACAACTGCGGAACGTGCTGGTAGTATTGTGGCATTATTGTCAAAAGTATGAATTATTGGTAGTTTAATCGGATAATTTCGGTTGTTCGGACGAAGTATTAAGGAGTCATTAGGTTGTGTAAAATTTAATTGACAATTGTATTTTTTAATGAAATCTATTCCTATTAAGCCGTCACTAGGTGTTGGGATATTTTGTTTGACTAAATGGAAGTCGTGCGGAATGGCGTATTTACCTGTAGTGAGCTCTACAAACCTAAACCTTTTGAATAAACTGAGCCTTCATCAATTCCTGATATTTGAGTGGTTATGTTATTATTTATGTTTTTGAATGTATCGACATTTTCTTTTAATATTGAAATGTCTGCACCAGTATCTAATTACAAGGTAAATGTTTTACCTGTACTTTCATTAATAATATTTATGAATATGCTTAAGTTAAGATTAATTGTGTGTACAGTTTTATTTAATGGTTTTGAATATATATTATTGTTATTTTGGTTGTTACCTCGGTTGGAATTGTTCCTTCCTCGTTTGTAACCCCGTTTTCGTAAACCCGGTGCAGCTCTTGCGCCGGATCGTATCTGGCGTGATGCATAAGAGCCCTCAGCTCTATCAAGTACTCCTTGAACTCTTCGCCCACGCGCTGCCTACGGGACCGGATTTCGTCCTCAAGCCTCTCGAAGTAACGTGGAGGTAGGAAAAACTCTAGGAAACCCCTCCTAAACACAGACCACGGCACATCCCGCGTTGACCGCGGTTGCCCGGCGGTCTTCGTTTCTACCGAGAGCAGGAGCCTCCTCAACACGCGAGACGGATAAGCTCGGGGCGCCTGCAAACGCCCCTACAACTGGGAGCTCCTTAGGTCGGGCTCCGACTTTTGACGTGGCCGCCCGCCAAAGTCGGATGGCGGCTAAAGAGTTTTGGTCGCAATCCTGCACGTAGGTGGACAACCGCTTACGCAGCTCCTCCACGCGCCCCTCCTTTTCCAGCTTAAACTCCTGGGCGATCGCCACTAGCTCCTCTTTGCGCCGCTGGTTAATCCAACGTACGCCTACTCCCGGGTTTTGGCACTCACCTGCCACCATTGTTTATTATATACCTTCTTTCTCGGTAGTCGGCGTCGCTGTTTCCCGCTCTTCCTGCTTCAGGGGTTCCGTCGGTCTCTTTATTTATTCTCTGTTAAGTTGGTGTCTTTGTCACTTTTATGCCGATCTTGTTCATCCACTTTTGTTTGTTTCTTATAAGTTAAACTTCTTCTTTTTTTTTTTAATCCGTTCTCCTTTCATCTTATTTGGACCACTTCCACAGAACAAACAAAAAAAGTCATGAAAGGGAAGCACCCGGATAAAGCGAGAGAAGATAAGAAAACTCAAGATGATTTATATTTCCAAATTTTGCATTTTTTGTGCTTTTTTTAAAGTTTTTATAACATGTGCATTTATTAAACTCGGCGTCAGTTCCGTATTGTTGTTATTGCCTGTTTTGATTCTTTTGCTTTGGTGCTCCCCTGTGCAAACACTTGTTTGTTCGTGTGTTCACTTGCTCTATTTTTGTGCACCGTGTTTCATTTAACTCTGCGCTCTCGCAACTTTTGCTTATTCTGTGCTGTGCTGTAAGAAACCTTGCACGTTCAAGCAGGCTGATGATTCTGCATTGCCGCAATTTGTTAATTGCTGGCTGTGTGAGAATATAATGCATGCTAAATGTGCAGGTCTCACTGCGTGGATTGCGACAAGATCGCTGCAATTGACAAAAAGGGCTGCGGCGGCTTGCGTTGGTCGAGCCCAGAATGAATCAACAAGCAAATTGATTTCTCCAGAATGTATAATTCTGTGTGAAATCAACTCTTAAAACTAAATAACGTGGCTAAGCAGCTCTCGAGTAGTTTTGACTCGAGTTGTGAGTTGCTTATCAAATACAAATTTGAGTCTCCAACCAATCGCCGGTTAGAGCCTCAATTTTTGCAGTTGCCCTCTCCGTCTGCCCAGACACCTATGCCTCTGTTGTCCTTGCCTTGCAACTTGAATTTATCTCCAATGTTGTCATTATCGCCTTCTCCGAGTGACTGCCCAAATATTACCCCTGTTTTATCCCCTGTAATAGTCCCATTAGACCCCGTACCTAAACCTGTCCCAGTTAGCCAAACTAACTTGCCCAGATTGTTAAAAACAATCATGGTGCCTCTTTGGCCCCACCAAATCCTGTTCTCCCGGCAGCCCCATCAGCTCCTATGTTAACTGTTGTTGCCCCTCGTAGGCAAGTTTTTGTGTCTCTACTTTCGTCTGACACCACCTCTGAGTCATTGGCAGCCTATATTGCATGCAAATCTTCTGATGTTCATGAATTCAAGCCAAAAAAGCGTAACCAGCCTGTCATCTTGCCAGTCCCTTCTATACAGGGTACCATTTCTGCCCCAAAAAACTAACTTCTTCTTCTGAACAAGTCTCTATTCATTATCAGAATGTCAGAGGTCTCATTTCAAAACTTAAAAATCTTTTCATGGCCAGCACTTCATTCGATTGGGATATAATCGCATTTTCAGAAACATGGTTAAATTCAACCATATCTGGTTTTGAGGTTTTATCGAATAGTTTTATTTTGCATAGAAATGATTGGCCGACTCGAGGTAGTGGGGTATTAATTGCCGTTAAAGCCACTCTCCAGTCAGAACTTTTCTGTTTTAGTACGCCTACTGACGCTGAGATTGTCTCAGTCAATGTGTCTTTTCCTACACGGAATATTTATATTACATGCTCTTATGTTCCTCCTTCTTCTGATATTCAAGTTTATATGAGACATATTTCTTGTATTAAAGAAGTTTCTTCACACGTGCGTGATAATGACCTATTTATTGTGTTGGGTGATTTTAATTTGCCGAACATCTCTTGGTCACTTTTCACTGCCGAAAATTATCTAGTGCCCTCAGCACAGCATGACTTTATAGATTGCATGCTTGACCTTTCGTTGTTTCAAATCAATTCAATTTCTAATCACTTGTATAGAAAACTTGATCTTGTATTTGTTAACGACAACCATATTTCTAATGTATCTAGGTCCCCTCCTTTATCTCTTCCTGAGGATGTATATCATCCTACTTTAGAGGTTGCAATGTTCAATTGTAATCCTCTCATTTCGAATCAGCTTATTTATGCAACCGATTGGTCTTTTTTATATGACTCGGTTGACATGAATGCCGCTATTAACTTTTTTTATAACACCCTAAACTCCCTCTTAGATATGTGTATTCCCAAGACATTACCTTCGACTACTTCTTCAAAGCCACCTTGGTTTACTCCCAGATTATCAAATCTAAAAAATATAAAATCTAAATCAAAGTCTGGTTTGTGTACAGACTTGGCTAAATATTCTCAATGCTATGAGAATTATCTAACTCGTTGAAAAAGGCAAGTTAGCCATCTTCTTTTTCTCTCGAGATGTATAAAGCTAGCAATGACTCTGATTCTGCTTACCTCTTTGCTAATTTTTTTCAATCAACTTACTCTTCAGTCTGTCATAATAATAATTCTTACCCTATTACTATTACTTCCTCTAGTTCTATACCTCCTCCTATTATTTCCCATTCCTCTCTCCTTTTAGCTTTAAATTCTTTAAAATCTTCTTTCTCTCCTGGGCCTGACAATATTCCTAGTTGTCTACTCAAGGAGTGTAGTTCTTCCCTTGTTTATCCATTGCTAAAGCTTTTTAATCTCTTCCTTGAATCTTCTGACTTTCCATCTCTTTGGAATGAATCTT